AGATAAACGGTCCTGGGTTTGATTTCCCGTTGCGGGGTCGTGAATAAACATTGCTGAAGAGTCCCATACTAGGATAGGGCACTCGCCCAGTGCTTTAGGGTTTTCAGTGGTGGTTTAACTTACATCGGTTCGTGAGTTCAATGACTAAGCAATCATTACCTAGTGCACAAATTTATTTTACTTAAAGCTCCAGCATGTGCTAATCTGTTTGCATTCATTTTTTCAGATAGTCAAGTAGTCAGTTACGATGGCATTAGTACGTTTGAAATGTCTGAGCTATTTATTTATTGATAAATTGTGGGTGTTTTCATGTCATTAATGAAGTACCCAACATAGATATGTTGCCAAATGCCCTGGTAAGGTCGAGGGTGGGGAAAGTCAGATCTGTCTCTCGAAATGCTCTCACATGGCCACGCGTATACAGACACTGCCAGAAAAGTCCTACTCACTACCTTCTCGTGGCAGTCTATCGTTTACAAAATTCAAAGGATGAAAAGTGAATGTCCGGAGCTTTAACCGGGTTGGTGGTGGGTATGGAGGATCGACCTAGGGGAGTTGGAAAACCCTGATTCCAAACCAGTGGTACACATGGGCTTCAGGATCCTGAGGGAACAAATGGCGTATGGACCTATCGTTGGTCACTGACTATCATGGGACTACATCTCCTGACGTTTTTCCACTACCTTGCGGATCAGACCTTTAGGTCGAAGGCTCCGGGTGTGGCCTCTTAAGAAAACCACCTGCTTCGGTCTGTGCAGTATCACAGCCCACACACAAATCAAGTGACTTGTGTGGCGCGTATGTATTCGGTGCCCCTTTGTGCCAATATTATTGTTGAAATAAATAAATAAAAACTATTTTCTAACTGAATATATGTGAAATACGGGACATTTACGATAATCATGGCAGTGCTGGTAGGTCATTAGCTTTTTGATAGTAAAATGTATACAACAAATTATAGTAACTAAACAGAAAACTAGACTAATCACCATATTATTATAATTATGTGTGTATCTACAGACTAAGAACATACGTTAAAAGTCTAATATAAACAGTAATTTTAACGAGAGATTACATCAAATGTTAAGCGTTTGATAACAGTCACTTATGAGAATTTAAATTTACAGTGCATAAGGAAAATACTTTGAACAAATATACTTTGGTTAAACCAAGATTAAGACCGTATTTTTGAACTGAAACTGCTCTCAATACCAGATAAAAACAGGATATTAAGGATGTTTCAGTTATGATCTAAGTTAATGGTCATCCCGATGTACAAGCCAATGATTCGAGTAAATTAAGCTGATGCTTGACAATATTAAAAGATGTGTTCACTCACCCTGATTATCACTAAAAAATAACTGAATATATGTGAAATACGGGACATTTACGATAATCATGGCAGTGCTGGTAGGTCATTAGCTTTTTGATAGTAAAATGTATACAACAAATTATAGTAACTAAACAGAAAACTAGACTAATCACCATATTATTATAATTATGTGTGTATCTACAGACTAAGAACATACGTTAAAAGTCTAATATAAACAGTAATTTTAACGAGAGATTACATCAAATGTTAAGCGTTTGATAACAGTCACTTATGAGAATTTAAATTTACAGTGCATAAGGAAAATACTTTGAACAAATATACTTTGGTTAAACCAAGATTAAGACCGTATTTTTGAACTGAAACTGCTCTCAATACCAGATAAAAACAGGATATTAAGGATGTTTCAGTTATGATCTAAGTTAATGGTCATCCCGATGTACAAGCCAATGATTCGAGTAAATTAAGCTGATGCTTGACAATATTAAAAGATGTGTTCACTCACCCTGATTATCACTAAAAAGAATAAAAATACAGCTTCCTAAGGTAAGTTTCCTGAGTGACTGAACGTTTATTTACAATTGTATTCAAAAAGTAATAATCATAAAATCCTGTTCGTGTAGTATCGCTCTATGTGAAGATAGGCCTCTATAGTCCTTCATCATACTTCATGAAAAGTATTACTTTAAGTAGTGCACTAAATTCTCAGGTCCTACCAAGAATAATCTTAAATTTTAGATGGAACCTAATCAAAATTAGGATCATAATTAAATTAAACCAACAAGATTAAAGTTTGCAACTATCTAGAATTTGATTTCAGACTTAAAGTTAACTTTGCTGAAGCCAAATATCAATCATGTACGACTGGATGTCGCACAAAAGGCGAACTAAAAATGATTCTTTCACAACAGGTGAAAATATTCACATTAAGCGTTGCTCCAGCCGGTTTGTAAAGTCTAGCAAATTACTAGTTAAGATTTTGACACTAACTCAAATAACTGATGTTCCAATCACAAAGTTACATGGACGAAATGGAACGGCGAAGTATCCACAGTAATTCTTTAGAAGGCATTGCTGATGAAGAAGTAAACTGATAATACACCACAAATAATGTTATGAAGAGGATATTACGTGTAAGTCCATTGAAGAATTATAAATTCGATGTTCCATTAAAATTCATACACAACAGGTTCTTTTTTTTTGATACAACAGGTTCTATCTTATAAATTTATTACTTAATAGATACATGAAGCGGTGTAAGACTGACTGGTCTGTTAGTATGCACGTTCAACACAAACTTAAAGCAGATTTATAGTTTGAACTACTAATCCTGAATCTTTATGGAGTATGAATAAGAAAGCGATTATCCGATTTTAAGAAACTTCATGTTGACCCACTTGCATCGATATAAACTCATAGGACTAACAAATTGGCCGCAACAGATACAAGTACACTGTTATATTGATTATTTTAACATACAAATATTAGTATAAAGGAGCACCGAATACACACGCGCCACACAAGTCACTTGATTTGTGTGTGGGCTGTGATACTGCACAGACCGAAGCAGGTGGTTTTCTTAAGAGGCCACACCCGGAGCCTTCGACCTAAAGGTCTGATCCGCAAGGTAGTGGAAAAACGTCAGGAGATGTAGTCCCATGATAGTCAGTGACCAACGATAGGTCCATACGCCATTTGTTCCCTCAGGATCCTGAAGCCCATGTGTACCACTGGTTTGGAATCAGGGTTTTCCAACTCCCCTAGGTCGATCCTCCATACCCACCACCAACCCGGTTAAAGCTCCGGACATTCACTTTTCATCCTTTGAATTTTGTAAACGATAGACTGCCACGAGAAGGTAGTGAGTAGGACTTTTCTGGCAGTGTCTGTATACGCGTGGCCATGTGAGAGCATTTCGAGAGACAGATCTGACTTTCCCCACCCTCGACCTTACCAGGGCATTAAAATGGATATTAATTGAGCAATTAGAAAATTGTGTGAAAACGAACGTACTTTTACGTCAGAGATTTCAAGTAATTAAATATTATTTGTAGAACTATAAATCATATAATGATAGATTATATTATTCGCCCAACCCCAACAGACTGATTATGTGAATCAATGATCAAATAGAATCTCAAGTAGGAAACAAGATATTATGTAAAAGTACCCTACTTTATTATCTGTTCAAAAATATTGACAGGAGATTAATCCAAAGCATATCCTGAAATTCATTATAAGTTATTAGTTAGCAATGAATCATTCGTAACATCTTTTCCTGCAACACAAATACCTTCATATAGTGTACATATAAGAATTCCCGCTATTTCAAATGAGTAATAAAAACGTTTTCATGACTTTAACAGTTTTTAGAAATCTATTTCCTAGAAGATCAGACATTTAACAAAAGCTTAGTATTCATGAGTTATGAATAACTCTTTATTTTATGATTTTAATTAAATATAGAACCCTATACCTATTTATGTCCTTACACTAACCTATGTTGAGCACCGCTTACACAAAATACCAAAAAGGATGATATACATTACATAATGCTGCTGACTAGTGAGAAATAGAAAACTGGTATCATAGTACTTAGTTTTTAAATTAGTCAAATCGACGTGCTGAATATTACTGATATTTGTGTAAAACCTTTTTAGCTCTGTTGACACTTTGTCATCATACGCAAATGTGTTGAGAAGTGCGAAATATAACATTTGACTACGTTTTCAATTATTAGTACGTTGATTTTCCCAGTATACCTTCAGTAGAATTAGACTACACTGATGGGCTTATAATAAATCAAATAAAAACGAAGATAACGGTTGTTGGATTTATACACGATTTATAAAACGGAATTGTGGATAGCCTGTTACATGAAAAAATGTTTTTAAGGTCTTGCATTTTGGCTAATTCGGTTGGTGATATGATTGAAGGTTACCTACAGAATTCTGGATCATTGAGAAAAAGCATCCTATATAACTGTGGTCACAAAATGATATAGGGAGGAGAAGTTAGAGTCCAGAATGGTGGGGGCCAATTTTTAGAGGAATTAAATTTAGAAGTATTAGGTTTAGGACAACAGAGCTAGGATGTTAGCATTCAAAAACCACTTTTACAATTTTACTATTTTTACATATTATGCAACTCATTTACAAAAGCTGCATCCTGACTGAACAATATTCTGTCGGTTGATCCCAAGGTCTTTTCTAGAACTGATGAAGGCCGTCAGTACAGTATAGTTTTACCGAATCTTCAAATTCCCAACATTTAGTTACCCGTATTGAGTAATTAAAAACCTATATAATTAGAATTTATAATTTTTAACTCTATTTTGGTCAGGACAACTTGTTCAATGGGCGAGCATGTTCAGTCAACCCTATATTACCTGACAATCTATTTGTATCAGGTTAGTTTAGTGTTCAGATTAATACTTTATATCTCAATGTTTTGCTTCTAATGTGTGACTTGAATGTGTCAGACATATATACATACCATGAATACCTACTGACAAAGAGGAATACATCAAACATTATTTAACAACACAATTCAACATTACTTAGAAACCATTGTAATCTCCCAGTAGCATTAAAACAAAACACAATAAACATTTAAGCATCCTAATATAACATTTGCAATAGATTTATTCATAGAGAAAACAGAGAGAGATCAAATAATAATACATATATTTGACAAAAAAAGAGGCAAACAATAACACGATAGAACTGAAAACACAACAGAAAAAGAAAGAGAGGACCAAATAAGTGATAGACTATAATTAACTAGGTATATAATAATGAATTAGAATACACAAAAATTAATGAACAATATTTGATGAGACCAGCAGGATACAAAAAGACAGAAAAAAAACCTGAATACTACAATTACATTTGTTTGTTTTTTGATGAAATAATGGTTTTATGAATATCCTGTATATGATGCCGTGCTGACTGATGATTATGATGGCATGTTCAATTTTGTGCAGTGATGATAATGATGATGATGATGATGATCAATTGAGATATATAGGATCGATAATATAATGATCTCTAAGTAAAGTAAATTAATTACGAAGGTGATTACTTTGGTTGTGGAGATATTCTTAAAAAAATATGACCAAGCTAAGAGTGTTATATTTGCATGAGTAAACATAAACAGATGAAGTTAAAATTTCATTTCAATAAAGAGATAAATAACGTCTAATTATAAACAAGCAAACTTTAAGTCGATATTTATATATATCACTACGTGTTGGGAATTGATATTGTTAAGAAATTCCTTTGATAATAAAATAAATTATTGTTTTGTAGATAGAAGTGAAGGATTGTTAATAGTGCTATATGTGCTTCACTTTTATATTGTTGGTTATTTCCTCTTGTATTTGATAACTAACCTATTGTTATGCTATTTTAATTGAATATTTTGTGTACTTAGTCAGTTGGTTTTTCGAAATCTATTTGGTTGAGAGTTGGGACTCAGTTTTATGGTCAAACTAATTTAAGTCCAGTTACTCATATTCATTTCGACTAATTGTCCGGTCATAATACAATATTTTTTTACTACTTCTCCTTGGTTCATAGCAGAGATGAGTTGAAAATAAGATTTAAAAAGAAACTAAAGTGACGGTGGGAGAAATGAAGCAAACAATTAAATGAACTACAGATTGAGTATTAATAATTCTAGATATTATGTCAAGTTTATACTACTTAGTAAAACAGAATGTAATGTGATATATAGTATAAGATATTCACAATTTCAATGGGGTTGAAGAATCTTAACTAATCAGATCATATTATTATAAATGTCATGTTTCAATTATATATGGAGTTTCAAGTTTATTTAGTATTACTTACTGGTTAAACGTAAGTAAATTAGTGCAAATTCAAGTCAGAACAATAGAACTTACTAAAATTATTCGGTATGATTTCGTCCATTTTCCTCATTACTCTTGTCACTTCCAACATGAATGGGTTCAACAGATAAATTAGGACTCGCAAATGCCAGCTTAATAGTATATGGATATGTACATTCTTCATCTTTAATAGGTTGATGATTACATAAAGCCAAAGCTTCACATGCTTCAGCATCTGTAGTCCATTTCATAAAACCAGATGAGGATTTATCCGAGGCTTTTGAAAACTGTTCAATATATCTGAAAATACAAATTGTTAGGAACTTAGGGTTTCTGATTACGTAATGAGTATACGAACAATATTAACTAACCGATAAACAATAATGCCGTTACTAGGTAAGGAATTAGTCAACGGGTTTAAGGTGAATGGCACGGTAATACTTAAAGAAAAAGACGTATAGACCAAACTAACTAACGGTATGTTTACAAGCTTAGGATGAATTAAACAACATTATTTAGAAGAGAGTGAACGACATGATCAAAGGAGAACAAATAAAACCTGAAACTTGGAAACTTCTGATGACACGAAGGAACATCACTTGTAATTTAAATATCAACAAGTACTTTATTGGTCATTTCTGGTAACACGGCATCTCCTTTTAATTACTCTGTTAAGTAATATGTCCCGGCACAAGACTTTCAAATTGTGAAATTTAACTCTATCCTTTATGTCACTATGTAGTATTGTGTCTCCACTGAGGACTCAGTGGATATTGAATAGTCAGTTTTAAAATATCAGGGATTGTCGAATTCAAGTTCGTTCCTATGAAGTTACCGAAATGGAATTTCTGGCATGTATAATAAAACAGAAATGTTAACAATTATAACTGCACTTGATGAAACTACAGTTAAACTTTAATTACACATTTACACAAAATATAATAAAGTCGTAGTGAGTACTCAGGAGATTATTAGTGGTAACAAGTACAATCAAAGGCCAAGATTAAACAAGCTTGCAACTGATTCAGACCGTAGTTGCTACCCCGACATGGTGTTCAAGTTTGCCTATCATGATAACCGGATTGAGTTTTATTAACTGGAATACTTGCTCCTTTATGTTTTAAAGTACCAAGCAAGTCAGTTGGACAGTGGTAAGACTAAAAGATCCGAGGATATAGCCTTGGTGATCCCTACTTTACTGAGGTATGACGGCAGTAGAATGTTTCCCACAGATAACCAGCATCGCCAACAATGTCTCCTTTGGTCACGACCTCAGATCAACGAGTCTATTATTAACATACCTAGCTTTTCAGGTTTATAAAGAATTCTTCTACAGATTCAGTGAAAAACCCCTACTCTTGACATTACATACCTTAATAACTTGTATCAGGCAAATTTATCTTAAAATCCAAATTATTGATATGATATGAACAATCTGTTTACTAACTGCTCAAAATAATACGTTTTAAAGTTCGGTTGTTTATCCCTAAAACGTGACGAGATGCGGTAAAACAACACATGATCTTACGATATGAAATATGTAGTATTAATGATCTAAAGAAGTTATAGTCATAGAGCAGAAATAAGCTGATGATAAAAGGTAGAATTCATTTAACCTGTTGTACTTAGATACTGCGCTTGAACACAGAGATACATAATAGACCAATGAAAAAATGAATTGGATACGAAAACGAGATGGAAGGAAGTTAAAAGCATGGAACAAAGAGATGTTCACGAATAGAGGGACGTGAGAAAGCATCCTATTGCATTACATATATATGTATGAGTTATTTCATTCAAGATCTTTATCAATTTTCTTACTGTTTTATGGGTTACACACAGATAATGGATACTAACAATGCAACAACTTGCATTTAGAGAGGGAGAAACGCATCCCGAACATTCTGGCATTGCCGCTCAGTGTTACCTAAAGACTGAATTTTATCAGCGCCTTTACCAAACAGGACTATGTCATCTGCGTATTTTAAGTCGACAAGTGGACCTCCTGGTAGGAGATCAATACCCGAGAATTCAGTTGACGAAAACGTTATTTCCAGCAGTAGGTCCATGATTAAATTGAACAAAAATGGAGATAGTTGACAGTCTTGACGGACACCACTTGAGGTTATAAAATCAGATGACAGTTCGCCATAAGCTCTGACTCGACTTGTAGTGTTCGAGTAAAGAGCCATCACAAGGTTTATGTACTTCTGAGGCACATCTTTCAATGACAGACACTGCCAATTAACAATGTAATGAACTGACAAGTATTTCCAACTTAAAGTCTTACATCTGACCTTATTATAGCTATCTTTTTACAGAATAGACAAGCAGTACCTTTAACCAATTAGCGACCGAAGTGTATAGTTTCTATCCTTAATTGTCACGGTTGAATTTCATAAGACAATGGACATACGAGCCACTCAGATAACTATATATAACATGTCAAACAATTATTCTCTATATTTAAGTTTATTTTAAACACTTTTAAAACTCATCAAGGAAATCATAAAGCATATTCTAATAAAAAACTATGTGCAGGTTTAGACACTAGACTATGGCCCACAGATATTGCATCAAGACCGATGATACCCATAGGATAGAATTGAAGTCTGCATTAATATCTCAAATTAAAACATGAAGTGTCAGGAAATGATGTAAAACAGTATGAATTGCAAAAAGTGCTGAGAATAAGAACAGCTTTATTTTTATTGAGATGGACTATGAGAAAGTCGTTTAAAAAATCACCATTCATTTCATTTTACCAGATCCTAAGCAATATCACTCATAGCAAGTAAAATCCAGAGTGCTCATTAATGGTTCACGATAATTTCCAAAACACCTCGGTAAGGTAAAGTATTTAGACGGTTTTTAACGACCTCGTGATCAGGTATTCTATAAGAATCTGTCTAAATAATTTGTGGATTTACTGCAATATTTGTGTACACCAAAACAAAATATGAAAACGTACTGAGGTTCAGGGGCTTCACATTTTCTCACAAACTCTAATAACTCGTTATTCGAAATTTTAGGAGGAGCATTCCAGTAGTGCAGTGTACGTGAAGGTGGATGAATACGGTTCTTTTTAGCCATGATTGCTGTAGTATACCTGTTATTACGATCTTTGCTGTAATCTTTAAAAGAAGGAGAACCATCGGGCAACTGGAATGGACTAGAAACATCCAAAATGACATCTTGCTTACTAGTTCGTACCTGGAAATCAAAAGAAATCAAGTGAATAGATGAAGGAATCGAATAATAGGAACTTAAGCCCACTAAGATAAATAAACCATAACATAAACACTAAATTATTATTGGAACAATTAGCAATTGACAGCCAACAGTGGACTATATTAATACAGCCCTTAACTAATGGAATTAGAATCAATGGAATGAACTTTAGTTCTGCACGGTCCAATACCATTTTCAAAAAAGATTACATATGTCTACCTTCGGTGTATGTTATTTAGGAAGTAATGAAGTGTGTTAACTATTTTATAGCTTGAGAAAATAAAAACAGTTCAAAATGATGCTAAAAAGATAGCTACTTGTCAATGGTAAGTCATATAGAAATGAAATGTGGTTATCATATGTACTGAAGTCAGTAGTATTCGATTACTACTGCTCTTAGAAAACTGCATGCATGTAACAAAATTATTAAAGCAGTTTTAAAACATGATGAATTGAATGTCACATGCTTCATAATTAATTGAAAACAAGAGACTGAAACAATTTAGTACGTAATGGTGTTCAATTATTTTTGAAGCTAGTTTAAGAATAAATGTTATGATGAAACCTACGTTTCAGGATAGAAAACGTAGTATCAAACCAAGAACATAAATACTAAATGAGTGATCACAGCAAAGTTGATTTAACAATGTTGGCTAGTGAGGAGAGAAAATTCGTAGATTCTTTTATATTATTGTCATCGATAGAAGTGTTCTATTTGCTCTCAGCAATTTCTAACATGGCACATTCATAGAAAGAATGATTATGGAGGTTAACATGAAGTTCGGATCAATGCTTTTTGAATTTACTAGAAGTGTATACTGGAGAAAATTCACCAGACGGAAACGAAATTAAGACGAATCAAGGACAAAGAGGTAAGCGAACAGGGAATAAACAAACATAGAACAATTAAATGTTTATTGTCCTGAGGGAAGCTTGTTAAGATATTTGTACTGATTTTATTGACTTCAAATAAGAATATTTAGCTTCCAAATACTCATTTCCACTACCTTGTAGATCGCAAACTGACGAAACATCTACATTTTCAGGGGATATATTCATTAAGTCACCATTTGATTACCACTTTAAGGGGAGTTGTGTAACCGTATAAAACTCTGATACGAGAATACATAGAGAAAAAATTGCGATGGTTTTGATTATTGGGACTGTACAAAGTCTACTACACAACTCACGCAGAGATAATAGCCATGTCATTAGGTGAGAACCCTTACTGAAACAACTAACACCAATGAGGTGAGACTTTTAGGCTGTTTGGGAAAGGGTGTCTCCTTATGTGTTTCTCATGAAAATGAAACGATTTCTCACATATGTCAGCAATAATGCTGATATGAACTTTTTGCTTTCGACAAATATGCATTTTTCATGCATCCTTTTATTTGAACGATACATAGATAAAAACAAAATATGAACTTCTGTCTGTAGTGTGAACTTAAACTTGAATGCCAGTTTTACGGGTCGATAAGCATACATACATTTGAGTAACTGATACACTACGGTGCTACAAAGCTAGACAAGAAAATGAAAAGTTAAAAGAACACAGCATATGGAAAACAATGTGGACGAAAAAGTTCCGAAATGGAAATAAGTCGGGAAATCATAATACAAAGACATAAAACATACAACGTAAACGAGAATTCAGTCTCAGATAAGACATTACTCACCATTAACTGGTTACCCATAAACGAAACACCTGACAAATTTCGTATAAGGCGGGTAGCTGATTCAACATCGCCCATTTCAACCATAGCTGAACCTTCTTTAGTACGGAGAAATTTAACGCGGATGACGTTGCCATATATACACAAAATATTGAATATGCTAAATAAGGAAGCCGAATGAGTGTTATGAATTACATGAAAATCACAAGAAACTGGATGTTAATTAGTTGAACAGATATTTGAGATTCAGAATATCAGACCTTAGTTACATTATTATTTAGTTTTTACAAGTTTACACTTCCTCTGAACTTCACTCGACAGATTCAAATTGATGGTAGTTATAAACAAGGGTTAAGTGATTTGCAGATTACATAATCTGAACTGATAAATTCAATGTGTGAAGTAAGAAAAGAAAAAACAAAACCAAGCATTTTTATTTGGTTCGGATATGCACATTGTACGGCTAGAGTTAATAAAAGCAATTGTTTGAAAACAAGTCACTTTAATATAAACCACACTGAGCAATAGACAACTTGGTATTTGGTACAAATGAGTAAAGATTCAATTTCCCACACCGTATATCATAAGTCAGGTGAAATATTGAGATAAAAGTGCATAGGAGGAAATAATAACATCAGTTTTGGTAAAGATGTAAACATAAGAAATAGAATTTTAAAGAAACTAATGAAACAGACCACAGGAGGAAATTAGTTAAAGATGTTTGTGATTGATTTTTATACTCTAGAAGAACTCATTTGTTAGCTTGTCAAATAAAACTAGACCTCTGAGGGGTAGTTAAAGTTACAAATACATTTTATTGGATTTAGCAATCCACCCAATGCCCGATTTCAAATTATCAAGTCACACCTTGGTAAGGTAATTAAGTTAGGCCTTGCTAAAAACATTCTTGGAATTCGAATTTTCTGTCTACATCTTGGAATAAATGCGTTGTTTGAGCGTAAAGATATGGTAGAAGAGTGATAATCTTCCATTTATCATACTGGATATCGACTGATTATTTATTGTTGGAAATAAGAAATCCAGAGGAAGCAAACAACGAAAATATCACTTGATATTTACGTTTTTACTGGATTAGTTGTACTGCATTTTTGAGTGACAGCTAGAAACACCAGTGAAGACAATTAAATCTGAATTTCAGCCAGATCTATGTCGGAATAATTTTCAGATGCAGTTACCTTTAAAAGTTTGAAGTGATACCAATCTACAGTTTAGTCCCATTTGTGGATATTCCCAAGATAACATACTATTAGAGACAACATCGGATGTACGGTTGTGCTAGTGGGTTACTTGATAAAAATCTAGTAAAGCCATACACTAAAATAACAGCATTCAACCGTTTTAATGATCGAAATTGAACGACTTGCCATTAGCCAACAGTGGCTAATAATTAAATTAAATGAACTCGTTCACCAGGTACCTGGGTATGAGCTCCACTCTGAGTGTGAGGAGCAATGATACTACCCGGTTGCTCGAACCGAAGTAGAACGAGGTTTGAAACTAGAACGTAGGGACAGAAGAACGAATACCTTAACCACTAAGCTACGGCTTAGCTTTATCTGGATAATAGATTATCTTTTAATTACAATCGTGTGATAAAAGCCGTATGGATTTACAATATTATGGAAAAATAAACTAACCGATCGCAGTTCATTTTCTTAATATCAATATTGTACAGCATAACCACTGGCGTGGAGTTGAAACTTTTATTCCTATTTTGAGCACCATTTAGTGTGGGGAAATTATGAGGTCCCACAGGTGTGTTATTACATTCTGGGGGGTATGGGCGTCCGTATTCGTCCGAATTTTCGTATGGATACTGCCCATAAGGACGTTCGTAATCATAATAACCCTCATCCATATAACCTGAAGAATGAAAATAATGTTGCTAAGATACTTACCGAGAAGCGAGTTTTGGTAGTGATCATCTTGAAAATTACAGGATGGGTCACGTTCACATTTCTCGAAGTCCCAGTTATCCTGATCATTCCTGGGCACAGATAATCGAGCTGGACGAGCATAGTCTACCTTTAAAGTACAGCATCCTGGGAAAATATCTGCACCATTCAAGTGGAGCTTTGCGTTGCGCGCTTCTTGTATACTTCTAAACTCCACCATTGCCTGAAACACATGTCGGTTTTTATTTTGTCACTAACCTGAACCTGGGATTTCCGGAAGATAACTATTCGAAGGACACTACCGTACGAAAACGTTATTCGATAAATTGTTTCAACAGTTATAGGACGATCAGTATCGTAAATTGTAAACAGAAGGATATGATTATCTGCTGAGAGCGAACTTTGTTCATCGGCAGGAGCTCTATTTGCAGCCCGTTGAACTATATGTTTTGATGTGCTGAAACTGATTTGAACCAGGCTATTCAGAATTTTCATTTCAGGATTTCTAAACATTAGGAATAAGAGTAAGTACATGATTATCAGGATTTTGTTTCTCTATAGACTTGGGATTTGGTTGTAAACGAGAACTAAATCTTAAATACAATCTGAAAGTATAAACCAGTCTAATTACTTGTGTGAGTTGCATAATGAAGTTTTCAGAGCACACTAATATTTGCTTGCCTATGGTGAATTAATTAACTCACTACAATATCTTTCTGGATTAAACTGATGTCGCTTTTGCTTTTGTATGACGTGTAAAGAAAATAAATATCACTGAGTCTGGTTGATTTTTGCCATTATGTGAATTGCGATACTAAACATCATGTGAACAAACTTATAACAAGGTATGTTCGATGTAATAGCTGAAATTTAGGTTCTTAAGATAGCTAAACTGAATACTTAGCGATAAGAAACAATTGTAAGGATAATTATCGCTTTGAAATTTAACCCAATTAGGATAACGATATGAACTGTTTTGGTAAACTTGATGACTTGAATTTGGGTAATCAACGTACTACTAGTATTAGAAACCAAGTTATTTTAGGCACGATGTTCATCCACTTTAAGGGTCTATTCCACTGTGCCTAATTACTGATTCACTTGAAAACGTAGTCAGTAGAATGCATTTGATGAATTGGCCATTTACAATCAATCAGTTTACCATACAAAGCGTAAAACAATAAGAGATATTTACGAGTCTTCGGCAGTAACATCTCAAATTGAGACAGCCAAAGAAATTAACAATGACTATAGAAAGGAATAGGAAATATATTAAAATAATGCGAACTTGAGAGCAAAATACTTGATTTATTATCACATCGAAGGGCTAGTGTTTGAGTGAGACTTAAAATTTTTGCTTTACGAGTCCACATTATGTAGAGTACTTTGCCGACCGTAACAAGACATGTATTAGTGCTTTAAAAGAAAAACAACTACGTCCGTATTCAAGGACTGATTCGTTCCAACTGGAACAGTAGATGAACATATGATTAATACTCTCTTTTCGTTATACGACTTTTTTACATTCATTTAGTCCCCGTAATTTACTATTTATCATCTTTTATCCACTTGACATTGTTTTCACTTGATATCTCTTCACCGAATCCTCTTATATAACATTAATGAACAGCCTGGAACAGATATTTACACGATTGTTGAATACAAAATCTGACAGCTAGCTAACCAGTGACTAAAGTTGGATCTTTGGTCATTCTGAAAGTTTCTTAAACTCCTGAAATAAGAATCTACTGTACCTTTTTGTTTCTATTTAAGTCACTGAAAAAGAAGACTGACAGGTCTATTTCATTCTGTAACGAACTACAAAAGACTAGCAACACGTACACCAATATTGGAGAGACCAACATGATCAGTTTATTGAGGTGTACAAAACGTACTTATTACGCACCTTATAAAAACCAAGTAAAAATAATCAAGTAACAACTGTTGAGTCACTATTAAATGATCAAGACAGACAATAGGTCCTAAGCTACGAAATCGTACCTTTCTATAAGTGCTTCAGCTGATGATATATCTTCAAATTCGACCAAAGCTTGTTTTTTCTGAGGCATCATCGTTACGTCACGAATACGCCCATAAGGCTCAAATGCTTTGACGACATCAAATTCCACACTATGTCTTGGTAGACCACGGACATGGACAACTGGAGAAGGGTCAATCTCGCCCCAATCTTCTGGTCGACTTCGTTTACAACCTGAACTAGTGCCTTTATCAGACATGGTAACCGTGAGCTTGTAAATAGCGGCTAGAGACGCCAATACATGTGAATGAATAAAACACAGAGAATAATCAGTCTTTAATAGTAAGGATAGATGGTTAATGTTAATCTCGTCAGTTTGTCTTTTGAGTTAGGCTCACCTTCTTTCTGAAAATGTTCACTGATGGGGCTGATACCACTTATTCGGGTGCGGCGTTCCAGTCATTGACGACTAGTTGAGAAAAACGGAACGCCATTTTAAATTTATTAGATCGCGGTTTGTAAACCTTCTTGCTATGACCTCAGAGATTGCTAGTGCTGGAGGGAACAAAAAGATAAGACATAAGAACACCCAAATCGTAAGTAAAGATACGAATTGCTAATAGGTCACCTCGCTTCGTGCGATATGACAAAGTGAAAAGATCTAGGCGTTTTAAGCGCTTAGCATAAGGGAGATTAGAAATATCCTTTACTTATTTTGTTACCACACTCTGGACACGCTCAAGTGAGTTGGTATTCTTAATCAGATATGGATCAGTTGCTTGGATACAGTACTGTAAATGTGATCTTACATAGGTCGGATATAAAAGTCGAAGCATCTCGTCAAAGTATTTGAATGCTCGGCAAAGTGGTCGTATCGCACGAAACCCTTTGGTGGCTGCTGCGTTGCGATATGTAGTTTTTTTCAGGTCGTGAATTATTAGTATTCTTTAGTCTTTATCTTTTTGAACGTGCGAAAGAAATGTACCATCAATAGTATAATGGTAACTATGAACGTGTCCGATGATCATGAGCATACTCCCGTCACAATTAAGTTCCAAGCCTTAATATCGATTCCGTCTAACTAGTTTGTTTAGGCCAGCTTACTGTTGTCAAGATTTCGACATCATCCCTAAACAATAATCTCGACGACATATGCAGTGGTGGTAATTCGTTGACATGGAGAAGGAAAAGTCGGGGACTCAAGATGGTGTTATGGGGTATGCCTCTTTTGACCGTCTTCCATTCGGATAGCACTCCATTGACCCCAACTCTGTCTGTGGCCACATAGGAAGTTTCCTATCCATTCCTGCATAGCACCTGTTATTCCGAGGCTCTCGAGCTTCGGTATAAGATCTAAATGGGAAACCGTGTTAAACGCTTTGCTGAAGTCTGTGAATATCACATCAACAGACAAACCGTCATCTGGGGATGCTGTTTAATCCTCTCTTGCAATAAGTAGGTTAGTCAAGTATAAATGCTTGTTGCGACACCCGTGTTGCTCTGGAGTTAACAGACTGTACGAACCTATGTGCCTAAGTAACTTAACCCGAATTATCTCTTCAAGTAACTTAACTTGACGGCCTGGTATTTTACAAAGTTTGAGGTTAGTGATGGACGGAAGAACAGTTTCATCAGTCACATATACAGGTCTTATGTCTGGTACCTCGGTGTGATTGGTTCAAATATTTGTTACGACACATGTAGAGTAGATTTCACTGAGACAGTTTCATAAAGTCTCACCTTTTTATCTGATTAAGCTAATAAATCTGAATTTTCTTGTAATTTTAATGGGGGAAGACCATCACTACGCTTTTTTTCTCAATTCAACTTATGAAAACAGTCGTTTAGGACATGTACGGCTATCATATGCCGACTGTCTTTCGTAAATAATACGGCATGTAGTTATGGTCTTTCTACATATATGCCGGATTTTTCGGTATTCACACTTAAATTGTTCGTGTCCTGTTGAGACGTATAATTCCCAGAACTATTTCCTACGCTTCAACAACTTTCCGATCTCCTTATTAATCCATGGAGGGCAATGTGAGAGACTGCGTGTTGACCATGGGATAAACGGTGATGTTACGGACTCGAATGTAGCCTTCAACTGGTTCCATTTGTCTTCCATCGATCATTCCGCATCGACTGACCAGTCACTCGAGATAGCACAATCTCTGGTTGCCAGAATATTAGCTCTCCAGGTATTGTGTCAGGGTGGAGCAGATATATATTTTTCACCGTGTACCCGAAACTTAAAATACAACGTGATCACTATTCGTTAGTGGGGGAAGTTGCTGATCCTAAATAAGACTGAAACAAGGTATCTTGATGGCTCTCACACATTTTTTTCATATGTTAGTTTATGTAAAAACAACTGAACTTGATTGGAATCTTATCAAATGTTTTAACAGTACTTATTTTTTTTATCTATTTTATAAATAATCTTTGATTGTTCAATCGGTCACGGAAAGTGATATCTGACTGGAAAGTGTTACGACTGAACTGCAAGGGAGCAAATCTCTGAGAACTTTTGAGTTTATGCTTGAAACAATTATCTGGATATATGAACAATAAGAAGTGAGTTATTGGCAGTCCAACTAGCTCTTAGTAGTAATTATTTCGTTCCGGCTACTTCTACACTGACTGTGTTTGTTAGTGTGTGTCGAATATGGAAGCTAGGTCATCTGCGAAGTTCAAATCGTCTAGTTGCATCCGAACTGCCGATTGTACTATGTACTCGTTGTTCTGGTTGTTAGAGTAGACATCGACTTCGTGAATTCCTCGACTTTCACCATGAGGAGTCATAATTCTTCTAAATGAAGATCTACTCACATTCATGGTTAAGTGCACACGGTTCAAGCCTGTTTTTCCAGTTGGCGTCCTTATCCCGAACACTCTCTCTTTATCCAAGCGTTCGGATCAGTGGTAACTGTAGGATTTGTTCGGTAACTCACCCCGGGAAGGCTAAAGACAGAGCTGCTGGTTAGAATTTTCCTTCTTTATTTATTTCAATACAAATATTGGTACAAAACGGCATCGAATGCATATGCGCCACATAAGTCACCTGATTTGTGTGTGGGCTGTGATACTACCCAAACCGAAGCAGATGGTTACCTTAGAGAGCCACACTCGAAGGCTTCGACCTCGATGTCAAATCCTCAAGGCAATAGAACGACGTGAGGAGATGCAGTCCCATGATAGTCAGTGACCAACGATAGGTCCATACGCCATCCGTTCCCTCAGGATCCTGGTGCCCATGTGTAGGATTGGTTTGGAATCAGGGTTTTTCAACTCCCCTAGGTCGATACTCCATACCCACCACCGATCGGTTAAAGCGCCGGACATTCACTCTTCATCCTTTGAATTTTGTAAACAATAGTCTGCCGCGAGAAGGTACTGAGTAGGACTTTTCTGGCAGTGTCTGTATACGCGTGGCCATGTAAGAGCATTTCGAAAGACAGATATCTGACTCTTCTCATCCTTGACCATACCAGGATATTCGAGGGCGCTGGTTATTGCAGTGTCCATGACAATAAACATACTTTTAGTATAAGGTATTTAATCGGTGATAATACGAAGTTATAAGACAACTTCAGCAGAGATATTGATGAACCGGTAAATGTTGTGAAACTTTGATTGGTGTATGTATATGACAGGTACGTATGTAATAAAGGAGTAGGGTGGAAAGAAACGTGATGCCATGACTAAAGGTATCAAGACAAAGAGAAAGAGAAAAGTTTTTAGTGATTTAGGCATATGTATACAAGTGATATATTTTATGCCAATTGGAAATAGAAACGACAATTCTCAACCCAACAGTGAAGGTGGTGAATCCATGTACTCAATGTGTAGTGGCAATTGGATTTTCGAATTCCATCACATTGTACTAGGATACGGTAGTGTGCCCAGATGAGACAAAATTTTGAAAAATAGGTTGTTGTCAGAATAATGTCCACTTCGGTATTGTTACGTCCAAGTTTTGCTCGTTCCCGTTATTGAAGTACGGTCTATCAATCTATTTGCAATGTACGAACTCAAATTAACAATTGAACCAAACTCCAATTTAGATATCAAAGTTTATTCGCAATTTACAAATAGTCGACTATAATCATAATAATTACAAAACAAACCTCCAATTTTGTAGGTTCCAGGAGCAAAAACACCCAAATACCAAACCAAAGAAACCAAAACGTTCGAAATTAACGATATAAACAAGGAAGTCCAGAAGTTGAGTAAAACAAATTCATCCAAAAGCGCATTGAAACCAATAGTACTTAATATAAAGGTTTTAATCAGCCAAAAGTCTTCAGTTTTCCCGTAATAGTGTCAGATGCGTTTATCCTTGCTGCCAGAAAGATAGACCGAATCGGCGAATTGTAGGTTTACCACGATTAGATTACGTAGGAATCATATCATTTCCAATGTGGCTCGTCTTATCTTAACATGAGGAAGTATGCTTTTAAGGAACTCTTACGAAAATATTTGGACTAGGGATAGATCAATATGTTCATTGTGAAAAGTAAGAAGTTACGCACATTGACTACGCCTGCATGGTCGAGCTAGTCTTATTGCGTGTTCACGCGCTCACACTCTTTGAAACTTTCTCTCAGTGTTAAATGTTGAATGTAAATCTTTTCAGTTGTCATGTGTGTAGAATCCAAACTACGGTTTGGACTGTTGAGTAGCCTCTGGGGTAGATTAGACACGCGCCCTTGCCCGTCAAAATCAAAGCAAGTAATCGGGTAAATAGCGGTTCTACTATTCATCATAAATTTATATGTAAATCGTTACCTAAACAAATATTACCACCCGGCTATTCAACCAATAATTGTTCAATCAATCAAATCTAAATTACAATAAATAAAGAAGTTGATAAAAGATGCGTGAAAATTACCAGTCACAACAAATGAACGTTATTCTATCCTGACTGGATAGATCACTCACAAAAGAAGGAGCAAATCAATATGGATGCCGCCAAGAACAAGTGTCAAGTGAAACAACATAAGTGCAGTTCGTGAAGAAGCACAAAAACTAAGTGAAGGCGTAATAAAAATAAAAACTATGATAAAATACAAATGTTAACAATTCAAATGTAAGCTAGAAACTAACAATGTACACCTAAGGGGATCAATAGGAACAAAGTGCAAGTATATACATGGAAGGATTTTCACAAACACAAAACATTCAAAACGGATCTTACAATGTGTTCGGTCTCAAGGATACTATGGTTGAGAGCCAACACCACTACACGGTAAGAAATATCTGTCTAGTGAGGCAGGGTTGTTGAAAGCTCTGCAATCTCCACACGGTCTTAAGATGTGATGAACAGAGACTTTTGAAAGGCGTA